GATTAAGCATCTGCCTTCAGCTCAGGTCATGATCCTGGAGTCCTGGGATCGAGCCCCACATCAGGCTCCCTACTCAACAGGGAACCTGCTTCTCCCTCTGCCCCTTCCCCACTTACTCCCTCTCTCTCTCTCTTTCTCTCGCTCAAATAAATAAAATATTTTTTAAAAAAGAATTTTTAAAAACCACTAGTTAAATTTCCACAGTAGGAAGCTAGATAAGGAAGAGCAAATTATACCCAAAGAAAGTGAATAATAAAGGTAAGAACAGAAATCAATAAAATAGAAAATAGACAATTAGAAAAAATTAACAAAGCTAAAATTGATTATCTGAAAGAAATATTGAAAGTTATAAATCTCTAGGAAAACTGACCAAGAAAGAATAGAGGAAATGTAAATCACCAGTACCAGCAATGAAAAAAGCAGTATCACTACAGTTTCTAAAAGACTAATAAGTCACTATGAAGGATAAATTTAGGATATCAAATCATTATGTTATATACCTGAAACTAAATGTTATATGTCAATTATACCTTAATTTTAAAATGTTTTTAAGAAAAGAACAAATTTAGGCTAATAAATTGACAATTTAAGTGGACAGATTCCTTAAAAAACTCAATCTATAAAAATGACAAAAGATGAAATAGAAAATTTGAATAGCCATGCATCTATTGTATAAATTAAATTCTATCAAATATTTAGAGGAAAAAATAATATAAATCTTTCACAAACAGTAGGAAACATTTCTCAAATTGTTTTTCATGAGAACAACATGACCCTGGTACCAGGACAAACCTGAAAAAGACATTATGAGGAAAGAAAAAGAAAGGAAAGGAAAGAAAGAAAAGAATGGAAAAGAGAAAGGAAAATTAAAGACCAGCATCCTTTATGAATATAAACACAATTTTTTTTAATTCTTAAATTTTTTTTTAAGTTTTTTTTTTTTTTTAAGATTTTATTGATTTATTTGACAGAGATCACAAGTAGGCAGAGAGGCACGCAGAGGGGGTAGGGAAGCAGGCTCCCCGCTGAGCAGAGAGCCCAATGTGGGGCTTGATCCTAGGACCCTGAGATCATGACCCAAGCTGGAGGCAGAGGCTTTGACCCACTGAGGCACCCAGGTGCCCATAAACACAAAAATTCTTATAAATTGAATCTTGCAAGTGGAATTAATCCTGGGAATGCCGAGGTTGGCATATTTACCACATTATCACAGGAATGCAAGGTTGAGTGTAATTCACCGCATTGTCAGAACAAAGGAGAGAAATCATGATCATCCCAAAAGATGAAGAAGCATTTGACAAAATTCAACATTCATTCATGATAATAATTCTTAGCAAATAAAGAAGAGAAGGGAACTTCCTCAATCTGTTAAAGGCATCTACTAAACATGTTCACCTTGGTAGTGAAATAATAAACGCTTTCCCCCTGAGACTGGAAACGGAATAAGAATGTTTGTTCTCACTGTTCTTATTCAGCATTGTTTGAGAGGTTTTAGCCCACGCAATAAGGCCAAAAAAGGACATAAAAGGCATAAGGATTAGGAAGAGTAAAATTAGGGGCACCTGTGTGGCTCAGTGGGTTAAGCCTCTGCCTTCGGCTTGGGTCATGATCTCAGGGTCCTGGGATCGAGCCCCACATTGGGCTCTCTGCTCAGTGGGAGCCTGCTTCCCCCTCTTTCTCTGCCTGCCTCTCTGCCTACTTGTGATATCTCTCTCTCTCTGTCAAATAAATAAATGAAATCTTAAAAAAGAGAAAGAAAGAGAAAGAAAGAAAGAAAGAAAGTAAAATGGGGAGTGCCTGGGTGGCTCAGTAGGTTGAGCCTCTGCCTTCAGCTTAGGTCATGATCCCAGGGTCCTGGAATCAAGCCCCACATAGGGCTCTCTGCTCAGTGGGAAGCCTGCTTCTCCCTCTGCCTGCCACGTCCCCTGCTTGTGCTCGCACACTCTGTCTGTCAAATAAATACATTTTTTAAAAAAAGAAAGATTGTCTTTGTTTACAGGTTGTATTAATGTTTCATAGGAATCTACAAAAAACAAAGAATCTATTTTTTTAAAAAAGCCTACTAGAGCTAATAAGTACATTTAGCAAGGTCAATATGCAAGAATCAGTTATATTACTATATAATAGCAGGAAACAGTTGGAAATTGAAGTTTAAAAAATTCCATTTCCAATAGCAGTCAAACCATAAAGAGAGTTAAGAATAAACTTAACAAGATATGCAAGACCTTTACAGGAAAACCATAAAATGCTGCTGAGGAAAATTAAATAACTAAGTAGATGAAAAGATATACTACATTCATGATCGGAAAACTCAATATTGTTAAGGTGCCAATTTCTCTCTAAAATAACCTGTTGATTCAGTACAGTGTCGATCAAAATCTCAATTGACTTTTACAAGTAAAATACATTTTTTATACTTTAGAAGTATAAAGTACAAGTTGATTCTGAAATGTATGTGGAAATGCAAAGGCCCAATCTACTCAAAGTAATTTGAGAAAGAAGAAAGTTTGAGGGCTTACATTATCTGATTTCAAGACTTAATAACTTACAGTAATCAAAATGTGTGGTGTTTTTGTAAAGATAGATATACATACCAATGGAACAGAATAGAAAGCCCAGAAATAGACCCACATATACAAGGTCAATTAGTTTTCAACAGAAGCCTAAGGATATAGAAACAGATCAATGGAGTAAAATGAAGGGGACAGATCTACCCATCTATAGTCCATTAATTTTAGGCAAAGACACCAAGGCAGCTCAGTAAAAAAAGGAAACTCTTTTAATAAATGGTGTTGGAATACTTGAATAAATATACTGATAAAAATGAACCTCCACCCCTATCTCATACCAAACGCAAAAGTTAATTCAGGATGGATCATAGATCTCCACTCAGAGCCAAAATGACTGAGCTTCAAGGAGAAAATGTCAGAAAGTTCCTTTGTAACTGTGAGGTAGGCAAAGATTTCTTCGACATAAAAATCACTAAACATAAAAGAAACAGGTAATAAAACTGGACTTCACCAAAAAGAAAACTTCTACTCATTGAAAGACATAAGTAAGAAAATGGAAAGACAAGAAAATATTCACAATACATATATCTCATAAAGGACAAGAATACATAGTAAAGTACAGGTGACCCTTGAGCAACATGGGTTTGAACTGCGTGGAATTTTTTCCAATAAATACATGTACAGAGGAGTAAATATATCTTCTCTTCTTTCAGATTTTCTTAACATTTTCTTTCTTTTTTTTTTTTTTTTAAAGATTTATCTATTTATTTGACAGACAGAGATCACAAGCAGGCAGAGAGGCAGGCACAGAGTGGGGGGAAGCAGGCTCCCCGCCGAGCAGAGAGCCCGATATGGGGCTTGATCCCAGGACCCTGGGATCATGACCCAAGCCGAAGGCAGAGGCTTTAACCCACTGAGCCACCCAGGCGCCCCTCTTAACATTTTCTTTACTCCAGCTTACTTTATTGTAAGAAGACAGTGTATAATACATATGTAAGATACGTATCAATTATGTTGTCAGTAAAACTTCTGATATATATTTATGAAAAATATATATTTTTTCATATATATATATGAAAAAGTGCTTAGCATCATTTGTTATCAGGGAAATCCAAATGAACGTCATTGTAGGACACCATTTTATATCTACTAGAATAGCTAAAAAAAAAGGGCTGACAAAGGCAAGTTTTGGAAGGGTATGGAGCAACTAGAACTCTCTTACATTGCTGGTAGGAATATAAAATAGTACAATCACTTTGGAAATCTGGCAGCTTCTTGTAAAGTTATACATACCTCTGCCCTATGACCCAGCAATTCTATTCCTAATAATTGCCCAAGAGAAATGAAAATATGTCCCCAAAACACTTGTAAAAGAATGTTTATAACAACCTATTCATAATACTAAAAAGCTGGAAGCAATCCAAATATCCAACAAAATAATCAGACAGAAGAATGAATAACCAAATTGTGGCATAGTCTATGGTCAGAGAAATCAGAGCAATAGTTACCTAAGGGAGGTAAGAAATGTCTGGAAGGAAAGAAAAGGAAAGTTTCTGGAGCAATGGAAATGTTACATATCTTGATATTTGTTGCCCTAGCGTAATGGTTATGTGAGTATATACATTTTGTCAAAACTCATTGAATTGTATACTTAAATTTCACTGCAGGTAAAATTTTACCTACAAAAAGGAAAGAAGCAGCTTGTGTATTAAAATAGAAATGATTATTTCTGTGGACAGTACTATATATATTACATATATTTTAATTATATATATGACATAAAATTGAATGCATTTTTTTTCAACACACATATAACTGTGCGTCTGCTATGGGTCAGCCAATGTGATAGTTGCTGGGGTATAAAGATAATGAAGAGAAAGTGGTTGGACTCAGAGAACTCAGCATCTAGCAGAGCCATAAAAGCACAAGAGAGAAGTATCAATGCAAAAATGGATTCTGAGTGCAAAGGAGGCCTGAGGAAGTGATTCTGACTAGTGGGGGCTGAGAGATGGGACCAAAGAGTGAATATACTCGTAAGGAAAGAAAGGCCTTTGGGTCAAATTCATGAACTAAATAAGGCACAGAAATATGATCCTGTATGATGTGTTTGCAGAATCTTAATTGGCCCGATGTGACTACAGTAACGGGAGAGCATACCATGACGGGAGACAGTGTACTTTAAGAATGTGACCAGGTTGTACAGGGTTGTAAAATGCCATCCTTCACGGGCAGATTTATAGGCACTAAGGGACCACTGAAGGCTTTTAGACAAGAGAGTGACATCAGTTCTGTTTCTGTGTTTTTAAAAAATGTATCTGGTAATAGTAAAGAAGAATTATTAAAGTTGGGGAGAGATTAGAGGCAGAAGGAAGAGGTAGGGATCTTAAGAATCGAGGGTTGTTTATTGAAAATACTTACCCACTAGAATTTTGTGATTGAATATTTTTATTTGGCTCTTCTTTTTTCTTTTTCCTTTAAAATTAACAATAGGAATCCAGAAACATTTTGGACCACAACAGGAATGTTTCCCCAAGAGTTCATTATTTGTTTTCACAAACACGTAAGGATTGAAAGACTTGTAATCCAAAGTTACTTTGGTAAGCAAATAATACATTAATATTCATCATCTTTTCATTTTCCCATAGGCAGAGGGCACATATGTAAACTTTGGCAAAACACTAACTTTTCTTTGCAGCATGGAATCCAGTTTTATGGCTGGGTTGGGAGAGTGGGGAGTATGGGTTAACTGCCTTGAGCACAGTTAGCTTCTCTAAAATTGCAAATTTGAAATCCTTCCAAAGTGCATAATAATTTCCATGCAATTTACTATGTGAAAATCTTTGGCAAAAAACCCTATTATGAACTTAAGAAGCCAGCTTGCCAGAACACTCGGTTCTTCAACATCTTTATTCCAGATTCATTTGGCTTGGGGTTCTCTGTCAAATTCTTTCTGAAAATCTGATAACCTTGATTATTTGCATTGGATAATTTTTATTCTTCTTTTAATAATGGCATTTTCTGAGGCATTTAGGAGAGGACTCTCCCTTTGGAACATCATTCTGATCCTATCTGGTGTTTACTTAAGGATAAAATATTTCAGAAAAAATCATGGCAGGAGAGAATACATCCCAGATGGTTCAAATGAAAAGACTTTATTGACGGGATTACTTACAAAATTATGGTCTGGGTAAGGGAACCTAGGATGGTGAGAACGCCCTGAAATTGGCCACAGCAATAAGCCATTACCACCCCTAGGATAAGGGACAGAAATTGTGTTACCAGAACCCAATGAAAGCTGGAGCCTGTGTCTAATGGCCTGCCCGGCAGTGGCTGTAAGCATGAAGGGACCCAACCACTGTCTCAGACAGGGCACGGAAGTAGGAAGGGAGTGGGCAAAAAACAACCTGATCTCACTTTGCCACTGCCCTCCAGTTTCCTCCCACTGCCTCCCATTGGCCAAACCCAACCAGAAGCCAGTGGTGCAATCCACAGGCGTCCTCCCCCAGGCCACAGAACAGAGAAGAGAAGAGAAGAATGTTTCTAGCAGGATCTGGGTTAGGGATAATGGAGAAAAAACAATACAGAAGGAAGATGCCTGGATTCTGGTTAAGTCTCTCTCCTGTCATTAATTGTAGAGGCTCTAGAGTCAGACAACACCTAAGTTTGAATTCTGTTTCTGACCCTTACTAGCTCTATTCTCTAAGGTGCCTGATTTCTGTAAGGCTGTTTCCTCATCAGTAAAGTGTATTAATACTTTTTCTTAGAAGATTATAGTCAAGAGTGAATGGGTAAATATGCCTGACTCACAGTAGTTTCTCCATAAAGGTTTATGACCAAGATCACTAACAGTATTCTTATTATGATTACTGTTATTATTACTATTACCAGTACACAAAAACTCTGGATGATAACAAGTTTGGAAAGACTCTACTAACTTTGTATTATGTGCTTTGCAAACGTTTGTAAGATTACAGTGACACAAGACTGCATTTTACCATAGGGCCCTACAGAAAAACAGAGTATGTGAATGATTTTCAGACCAGGTATTTCTTTTTTTTTTTTTTTTTTTTAAGAATTTCTTTATTTATTCGACAGAGAGAGAGAGATCACAAGTAGGCAGAGAGGCAGGCAGAGAGAGAGAGGGGGAAGCGGGCTCCCTGCTGAGCAGAGAGCCCAATGTGGGGCTCAATCCCAGAACCCTGAGATCATAACCTGGGCTGAGGGCAGACGCTTAACCAACTGAGCCACCCAGGTGCCCCCGGACCAGGTATTTCTGATCCCAGTATATTGTGTAGTCCCGCCAGTGCTTGACACTTTCAGAGAAAAAAAAGGAAATGTAGGGACAGCAACATAAAATTAAGTAGGTAATTAACACTGTATTTATTTTTTTTACTCCCAACGTCAGTGAGGACCTTGAGGATTGAAAAGACCACATCTAAAGAGCCAGTTGATTTTGAGCCATGGATTGAAAGAGGTATGTGCTTTTTCACCAGCATTGTTCTGGGAGTGAGGGAGTGGAGAATTATCCTTTGATTCTGTATTTCCAATTGCGCTGCGTTTTGGTGAAAAAAGGTGACTCTTGTGACTTACGTAGAGCCTAGAAAAACCCAACTTTGAATACAAGACTGCTGCTTCACTTCTGGTTATGTAACTGTTAGCATGTTAATACTCAATTTTTCTGAGTTTCAGAATCCTTATCTGAAAAATGGGCTCAGTAACCCACCATTTAAGGTTTTTATGAACATAGTATCATCTACCAAACTCTACATGGTAGACAATAAGTATTAGTTTCTTGTCTTCCTCCCTTCCTAATGGTACTATTTAAATATCATCAGAATTGCCTCTAGTTAAACACAACATGTTGCCTTTGTGTGTCTGTTTCCTTTCCTTCCCCAAATACCATGAGAATAATGGAAAAGGAATTAAAGGAGGCATAAACCTACAAGGACAAAAACGAAAATAATGAAAAAAACAGGAGACCAACAAGGATGTGAGGAGTTAATCCATATTATGGAAGAGAGGACGCAGATGGAAGAGAAGGAACTAACGTCGCCAAATGGAGTAGTAGTAGCTAAGTGCCGTCCAAGGAGAATAGCAATGTAAAACAAGCCAGTTTGCCCAACAAAACCCCAGAAAGGTCTAGAATTTGAAGGCAGAAGATACCAGGGAAAGGGCAAGGGAGACGTGGACCGGAAAACAAGGGTAATTAGTTGAACATCTATATACAGAGTTTTTGACCCTATGTAAGTTCTCCTGTTCCACAAAGCTGGATGATTCCTCTTTCCTCCCACAAACCACCTGCAAAGGATAATGAGGAACACTGTGTGTTGAGGCTCAGAACTCAGCGAGGCCAGACAGAGTAGAGAAAGTAAGGGAGCTGTGCAGTTGAAAGCAGGGGATTTAAGTGGAAGCCTGCAGATTGAATGGTGAGAACTCACTCTTCTGTGCTCTAATGTTTATGACAGCAATCAAGAATATAGCCCTGCCCAGGAGACTAAACATTTTTGGAGAAACCGAATGGCTCCAGAAAAAAGATCTATGGATACGGACAAAGGCTAGCTCATTCCTGGTCACTCTGTTGAAGCCCTAGTCAGTGAGCCTGGTTCATGCACACAGTTTTCAAATGATTTATTTATAAGTAACAAAAGATAGCCAAAGTTCACCAGACATTTGATGAAGGCCTCAAACCTTGAATATAATCAAGCCTTTAGCTCTAATTCCAGTATATTGGAAATAGAGGATAGAGGATTAAATGCAATGAAACTAGGAAGAGGTAAGATGACAAAATGTGGGACATTCCACAGTAAAACTGACGTGATCTCTTCAATAAGTCAATGACATGGGGAAAAAATGTGTGTGGGGGAGAGAAAGCAATTCAAAAGTCTCCTTCTTAAAGGAGACTTGATTCTGATTTGAATAAACCAACTATAAAAAGACATTTTGGGGACAGTTGGGAAATTGGAATGTGGACTGGGTATTATATGATATTAAAGCATTTTTAAATGTTGGTATGATAATAGTATTATGCTTTTGTAAGAAAATATCCTTATTATCGAGAGATGGATAATCAAATATTTGGAGGTGAAATGTCATGTTGTCTTAGATTTCTTTAAAATACTTTAGCAAGGGCATCTGGGTGGGTCTGTCCATTAACCATCTGCCTTCAGCTCAAGTTATGATCCCAGGGTCCTGGGATCGAGCCCCACGTTGGCTCCTTACTTAGTAGGGACTTTGCTTCTCCCTCTCCCTCCACTCCTCCTCCCTGCTCATTCTCTCTCTCTTAAATAAATAAATAAAATCTTAAAAAGAATACTTTAGCAAAAAAAATTCCATAAATCAAGTATAGTGAAATGTTAGTAATTATAAAATCAAGATGACGGGTATATACAGGAATAATATCGGTCTTTTTTGATGTAAGTGAGATTTTCCAATTTTCTTTCCTTTTTTTTTTTTTTTTAAAGATTTTATTTATTTACCTGAGAGTGACAGAGAGAGCATGAGAGGGGAGAGGGTCAGAGGGAGAAGCAGGCTCCCCACAGAGCGGGGAGCCCGATGTGGAACTCAATCCTGGGACTTCAGGATCACAACCTGAGCTGAAGGTAGTTGCTTAACCAACTGAGCCACCCAGGCACCCCCAATTTTTCATAATTAAACTAAGCAATGAAAGAAGAGGTTATAATTAAATCCTGGTAGAGGAGGAGTTGCATAAGAAAGAAAATGGGATCATAATTTGATACTTATTTCAGTAGTAAATAACATTACATAGACAATAATGTAACTGTTAAGTATTGATTTCAAAACTGAGAGGATGGCAGGAGGGAAAAGTTGCAGGAGGAGGAAGAGGATATCGATTTCAGAGACCTAATTTTCTCCTACCATAATATAAAGTCTGTAAAACACTGATAAATTGAGAAAAGGAATACAAACATGTTACAATTCTAGGGAAAAAGCACTGAAAGAGTTGGAAACATTTGCCTCTCAGGAACAGGACTGGAAGGGAAAGAAAGGGTCAGGCAGGGAATTACTTCCATTCATTACCTCAGAGAGAGGTTAGGAAACCGGAAGTCATGCACCGTCTTACTTCCCAGGGACTATCCCTTTTGTAATATGTGCCTTAAAAATTATGTGCACTAACTATTCTGATACAAATAAAATTAATTTCTAAATAATGTCAGTGTTTATTGTTATATCAATCAAATATTTCATGTTTCCAAAAGAATGTTTGATATGACTCGTGACCAACTAAATTAATCTGTTTTAAAAATTATATTAAGTAAATGTTTTCTAAAGTTGGGTACCAAGAAAGATCAATTCACAGGCAGCATAATTCAATGTCACAGTAAAAGTTCAGCGTGAGAAACTGAGCTGTAGTCATTACCTATGGGAGTGGTAATAAGATGGCTCCTTTCAGGCCTGTGATAACTGTTTGTGGCTTGATCCTTAAAAGGGATTTTCACATTTTGTCAATTCCTTACTTTATATTCCTTTACTCTGATTTACATTTCCTTTTGTTTATACTCACTACAGATGTTTTAGAGCTCACAGTTTATCTTTCATGCCTTTTACATCAAATATTCCTATTTTGATACTGAATTTTAACCCCCAACCCCTGGTAAGTCTGATCTAACTGTAGTTTATCAGACATCATGTTTTGCTGAGCCTAAATTTCAGTAGCTGTCCTCATGTATTTTGAATCCTAACTCATTTCTGTTAAATTTCTGGTTTAGATCTAGTCCACAGAGAGGGGCAGCTTCAAAATGAAGAAATTCTGGTAAGCCAACATACTTTGTAGAGATAAACATTATCTTTAGTCAGCGCAATGTGTTTACGTTTTAAATCTATCTCCTTAGTCATAAAGTTAATAGTTTGTATTATTGTGATATATTATAGGTTCTGTACATAATAACCCATGGAGAAGGTCATTCTCAATGATACTACAGTTTAAATAAAGCATGCATCAACTAGGCCTTTATCTGTCATAGACTAACAGCAAGGGTAAAACAATTCACTTACTTGTTTTTATTTTGTTCGTTTTTTTAGAAGTGTTTACTAGCTGTGCTTTCATTCATTTGATTCTGTAGGCCTTTTAGAATAGGAATCAAAAAAGGTTGAGATGCCAAAATCGGATGTTAATTTGAGCATGAAAGGACAAGGGAGATTCACAGAAGGGGAACTGGAGCATAGGATCAGCAACAAATAAGCCAAAGAGAGATGAGGTGGAAAGAGAACCAGCATTTTTCGACAACATTCCATTGGGCTTTGCTTGTCAAGTGGAATGAATGCCTGTTGATGAGGAAGCTGCTGCCTCATCAGGGGTTCCTCTGTTCCTGCTAGTTAATCAGGCCCTGGTTTTAGACAAACACAAAAAAGTGAAACAACTGAATGTGTGGGCTTTTTTTTTTTTTTTAGGTGGTAGTGTTTGTTTAAGGTTTCTGTAAATGAGGCTTAAAGAGGAACCTTGTCCATTAAGTTTCCTTCTTCACAACTTAACCAGGCACTGCTATGAAATCTGTGCTTCAAAAGATTCTGTAGGAAGTTTTTGAATGCTATTAATTATCTTCTCCGCCACCCAAATGTGCCCAGCGACTGGAGAGGCCAGTGGGGCCAGAAAATGATTAATTAGGCTGAATTTTATCTGCCTGTTTTTCTCCATGTTTATTAATGGGTTATGATTAGTAAGCCTCTGCTAAGTATTTTGTTTTAGGACTCACTGTGAATCAACAACATTATAGAACATTATAGAACATTTGGAAAACAGTAAGGGGGAGTGGGCAGCTGGAAGTCACCCATGATTTTATTACCCTGCCACAAGAGCTTTTATTACACTTATTTTCTTCTTCTTGTCAGTATGCATCACATAGTTTAATAGTAAAAAGTGAAGAATTTTGTATCTTTTTAAACAATATTATAAGTTCATAATTATAATTTTAAAATGAAATGTGTGAAAATAGACAAATGTTCACTAATTTCACTTTTCCTCCCTCTGTCATAAGTAATACTACAGGGGACATCTTACGCATGTTCTCACTACCATGATCTTCACCTTTTAAATTATTCTCTATGATTAAATTTCAAGGAATAAAATTACTGGTTCCATCAGGGTAGACATATTTATAGCTGCTTATATATATTGCCAAATTGCTTTCCAGAGAAATTATACAAATGTAAAAGTATAATAATGTTTCAGAGTAGTATAGTTAGAGGAATCATCAAACAAAGGAAGTCTCCTAACATGAAAAATACTTTAGAAAGACACTTTTAAAAAATCAATCAGAAATGTAAAGTTGTGATTTTTAGTTCCACCCATTATTTTTCATCAAACCAATGCTGATATTTGCCTGATGATACATCAGACCAGCAGTACTGTTATACGCAGGTGTCTTCTCTTCTGAATATTATATATTATATATTTAGGATATCATTTTTGCATCAAACCCTTTCTTCTGCTAACTGCTGTTTAACAAGTTAACTAGAATTGCTAAATGCTTCCATACTGATTTTTCCTTTGCAGACACGAGATGGCCACGCCACTTATTTGAGATTCATGATTATATCAGCCTTTGATCATTTTGCTTCTGTGCATAGTGTTTCTGCAGAGGGACTAGCAGTCTCAAATCTTTCTTAGTAATTATAACCAAATACTCTTGCATGATTTTTTTAACAATATATTTATTTAAAAATGAAGTTGTCATTGATATGCTTTTATTAAAGGGATTTGTATCAATCTGTTTCAGTTTTTTTTTTCTCTTCAACATTTTCTGTGAAGGAATTTGGTTCATTAGTGAGGAGTGATGGCCACCATATGGGCTGTAAGAAAGCTCTCATACAGCCTAATAAAGGAAATGACTATATATGAAAACTTAACTGATAAATGCATTGTGTCCTCCCAGCATCTCACAAGGTGCTCTTCAGATGTCAGTGCATTTATTTTTTTCAGGTTCAGTGCATTAACTTTTTATTTATTGATTGATTGATGAAGAGGGCTAAGTGAGCAACATAGACAGTAAATATATGTGTTCAGAAAAGAGAAAGGATTTATGGGAAGGTTTCATGGAGGCCATGGAACTTGAACTGGGCTTTGTCCAAAAAAATTTATTTTTTTCTTTTAATTTAATTTTTGCCTTGATTTGAAAATCTCAGAGAAGAATTAGGAAAAAAAAAACATAATCTGACTTTCCACATCCAACCATTATTAACATTAGTTGGTTTTTTTGATATATGTTGGGGAGGTAAAGAACAGGATAGGACAAATTAGGCGAAAATAAAGCTTTTCTGAATATACTTTATATACCTTAACTTTCAGAAACACAAATAACTAATATAACCAAAAATTAAAACAAAAAAGAAAGTCCAGAATATTGAAAACAAACAGAAATGCATGAACCTAACTTTATCACAAGTTGATAAGATAAGCACACAAGAAACAGTGGCATTAAACGTATTTCATCTGTGTGGTTCATATTAGTTTCTTAGGGCTGCCATAATGTACTACAAACCTGGTGGCTTCAAACAATAGAAATTTATTGTCTCACGGTTTCAGAGTCTAGAACTCAGAAATCAAGGTATTGATGGGGTTTGTTTCTACTGGAGGTTCTCAGGAAGAATCTGTTCCATGGCTTTCTCTCAGCTTCTGGAGTTGCTGGCAGTCCTTGGCATTCCTGGGCTTGTGGCCCTGTAGCTCCAGGGTCTGCCTCTATCATCACATGGCATTCTCTGTGTGTGTCTTAACATCATCTTCCCTCTGTGCATATCTGTTTCTATCTATCTTCTCCTCTCATGAGGACATCAGTCATATTGAATTAGGGCCCACCCTACTCCAGTATGGCCTCGTCATAACTAGTTCCATCTGTAACAATCATATTTTCAGGTAAGGTCACATTCGCAGGTACCAAGGATGAAGACTTCAACATGTCTTTTTGGAGACATAGTTCAACCCATAAAATAATCTTAGTGAAAGTGTGTGATAGTTTAGTTCGTGATAGTTAATTTCCTGTGTTACATCAACTGGGCCACAGTGCCCAGGAGTTTGTTCAAACATTCTGAATGTTTATGTATGGGGTATTCTGGGGATAAGATTAACATTTAAATGGGTGGACTTTTTAAAAAATGAACATATAATGTATTATTTGCCCAGGGGTGCAGGTCTGTGAATCATCAGGCTTGCACATTTCACAGCACTCACCATAGCACACACCCTCCCCAATGTCCATATAAATGGATGGACTTCGATAAAGCAGATTGCCCTCCATTCCATCAGGTGAAGACCTTAATAGAACAAAGATTGTCCTTTCCTGGACAAGAAGGAATTCTGTCAGTAGACAGCGCTCAGACTTGCACAACAGCTCTCCAGCCTGTCAGCCAACCCTACAGATTTTGCACTTGCCAGACTTCATACTCCTTTGAGCCACTTTCTCACAGTCAGTCTCTCTCCCTCTCTGCCTCCCTCTCATTGTCTTTGTATATGCATATATATGATGGGAGGCCATGGAGGCAGCGGCTATTGCTGCTACAGTCCACTGAAGTTAAACATTCTATGCTTCTGATGTGATGCCCTATGAAGCACACGGGCCAGCCTCTGAAGTCCTTCTGCCAGAATTACTGAGCCCAAGTTGCATCAAGTTCTAGAGTTAACTTCCATTTTTCAGGAAATACAAGGGACGGAAAAACAAGTAAAATGACACCACAAGGCAGCAAATAGACTAGTAGCCATTTTGTAACTCACCAAAATGGCCAGATCTGTGCCTTTCCTGCACATGGTGAGATAGACTTCCTGGCCTTCTTTGGGTAGGGCCATATGACCAACTGTGGGCAATGAGATGAGGGGAAAGGGGTAGCTGGGTCTACACGAGAGCCTTCAAAGCTCTTTTCTTTCTCTGTCACGATGACCAGCAACGATGTTCTGCACGGTAGCCGCCTCACCCGTCTGGGTCTGGAGACGAACCTGATGATAGCAGGGAGCAGACCCCGCTCAATGTGAGATGGGCAGACAGAAGGAAAAACACAGCGTTGTTGTTTTAAGCCAGTGAAATTTGGGCTATAACTTGGCCTATCCTGACTGATTCACAGACAAATCTAGACTGTGGCTTACCCTACAGAACAAGTGACCTGGTTTCCTCAACAAGTCAGTGGCGTGAAAAATGTCAATTAATTAAAAGGACCCCAATAGCCACATGCCATGTGTGGATATTATTTGGATGCTGATTTGAGCAAAACAACTGAAAATAAGACATTTTAAAGATATTTGGGGAAATATGCTTATGGATTGGGTGTTACTGTTCATTTTGCTAGCTGTGTTACTGGCCTTAAGCTTAGCTAAGAAAATGCTCATATTTTTCAGAGATGCATATAGAAGTATATAGGGGTAAAATGTCCTCATATTTGGGATTTGCTTTAAAATAAGCAGATATTTTAAGGGAAAAGGTATTGGTTGAAACAAGTATGGCAATAAATGGTTAGATCTGGTTGGTGGGTCTACGGGACTTCACTGCACCCACCTCTGTGTATGCTTGACATTCATCATAATAGAAAAATAAAAATCAATAATGCTACTGAGGGTATCTTTGTGCGTAAATCTCTGCCTGCCCCTCAGAGATGTCCTTAGAGGAGACTCCCAGAGGGGAGTTGGTCAAAATCAGGAACAGTTTTAAGGTTCTTAATACTTCTGATAAACCACTTACCAAGATTTGTTGCACAAATTTACTCTTAGAACGGTTAGGTTTTAGATAAACAGAGGAGAGTAAGAAAGGTATTTCAAGAGCAATGTTGGTGTGACCGAAGACGTGAAGAGGAGGACTCTCTCATCAAACACATTTGGGGAGTGATGAGTACTTAAGTCAGACAAGGGCAAAGAATAAGACTAAAACCATACATTACAGCCAGATCACAGAGAGCTTTTAATGCTTTCAAATATTTTCCCTTAACATTGGAGCCATTTAAGGCTTTTGAGAAGGAAGGTGACTTAGAGCAATTGTGTTCATGTTCAATAAAATGAAATGCTAAGGATTTTCTTTTGGCCAACTTCCTAAACTGAAATGTCAATGATTCTTTGTGTAAGAAACAGTGTTAAGGCTCGCAGATTGCTGGAAGGATCTCCAGGGGCTGTCTGATTGATTTCTTTGGCTCAGGCCTAGTAAATTATCTCTTGAGTCTTTTTTCTCTGTGTCTGTCTCCTGTGGATGCAGAGAACAAGTCATCAGTGTAGTGCTTATAATACCATTTATGATATTTAAAAACAGCATTCTTTAACCTTCATTTTCCTGGACTTTAAAAATTTATTTCACCTTCTAAAAACCTCACCAAGTTTCAAGCAATAGGTACCATAATATGTGGCTTTATCTTTTTTCTCTTTTTCTTCACTGCTGAACCCCATCATCTTTTTAAAGTCTCATCTGTCCCCAGTCAGCTTCCTGATAAATCCAAATCCCTCATTTGGATTTATCTCCACCTACCCACTGACTCCTGACTCCCATTGGGCTGTGTGTGCTCTGTGATTGAGACTTCTGAGTTTGCCTCCTGTGCCTGGCGGGCTCTTTTCCTTACCTATCTGTACAGCTAGCTTCCTTGGGTACTTCAGATCCTTAACAAAGTCTCAGTGAGGCCTTCTCTGGCCTCAGGTATCTAAAATTACAGTGTCTCATCACCCTGGCCATTCTCCACCCACACACACCATTGCAACATAAACATTCAGTCTTCCTTCCTGGGTTGTTTTTCTCCTTTGTTCTGGGACTGGCCACCCTAGTTCCTGTGCTGCAGGGCTTCTGGTACCTTACTCCTCTTTTCTCACTACCACTAAAATCCAGCTGAGATTTTTTTCCCTTTAATCATATCCCAAGCGTGCTGTGAGAGATGAGGTCAGTGCAGTCTCCTTTCAAGTGTGAGTATCTTGGGTAGGGGCTCAATTGATTGAATCACCTTCAGCTCCCACAACCTTTTAGAGATGGCCCTACTTATTACTAACACATTTTTGTTCTTCTTTATCATGTATTTTGTGTTTATTGTCTCTTTCCCTCACTAAAAGGTAAATTCCCAAAGGGCAGGCAATTGTTTGTTGCTTTTGCTTCTGACTGTAACCTCAGGCCTTACAACAGGTGCCTGGCGCATAGTAGATTTTCAGTTAAAATATGTTGACACATTGTTCTCTCTTTATACTATTTATCCTTGAGGAGTTTTTACTAAAGCTTGCTAATAAAATATACATTTTTGGATCACTTACTGTGGGCCAGTGCCTACCACGGTGCCTTGTATCAAGTTTTTACTTTTTTGTTTTTTGGGTTTTTTTTTAAGATTTTTTTATTTGAGAGAGAGAGAGCACAAGTTGGGGGTGTAGGGGCAGAGGGAGAGGGAGAAGTAGGGAGCCTGACAGGACCCTGAAACCCTGACCTGAGCTGGAGGCAGATGCTTAACTGACTGAGCCATTCAGGTGCCCGAAGTTATTACTTTTTTGAAAAAGTAAAAATCTAATGACATTTTAACCATGTACTAACAGGGCAAAGAAATACTACACAAATGAAAATTCTTACATCTCTCACAGAGATTTACACAGACTTCTTATTTTTATTTTTAAAAGATTTTATTTATTTATTTGACAGAGAGAGAGAGCGTGTACAATCAGGGGGAGCTGGAGAGGGAGAAGCATCCCTCTGTTCATGTGGGGCTGCATCCCAGGACCTCGGAACCATGACCTGAGCCAAAGGCAGATGCTTAACTGACTGAGCCTCCCAGGGG